TTTTTGTTTAAATAAATACTAAGTACTTGTGTAGAGTTTTTATAACAAAGGCAGAGACACACCTCTTTCATAACATGTAATATGTAATTATATTACGACATATCTATCCCTAAAATAAAATCTGGGTGTGTTACTGAACGAAGGGTTCCATAAAAAAATTATTACAAAAAAGGGTTCCGCGCGATGACAAAGGTTGAAGAGCACTGTAGTAGAGGATGATGACTTATAGCAGAACAAGAGAATAACACCCAGAAAATGAAGATAAATGAGAGAAATATAACAAATTAAAAAAGGTATTAGCAATAGAGATCAGAAAACCCAAAAAGAAAGTGTAGGAAGTTATTTGGGCTATGTGTACAAAGTTGCTACTAAAAAATCTTCTACCCTTTGCAAATAAAGAAGCCGACAGATTATAAAATGTCTATTCCCTGGTCATACAATCTATGGATAGAACATTATTTCTCAAAATGATCTCCCGTACTGACAAGGGTTGATGCAATACGTTGGATAACGTAACCAGGGTCTGCTAACGTGCCCGTAGAGCTGATAAACAGAAAATCATTGAAGTTCTTATTTAATCTCTTATACCCATATGTGAAATTGTTAATATATTATAAATTGGATTTAACTTTGTTTTTAAGGTATCCGGATCCGCAACTATTCACAAATTGTTGTCAAAGCACATGTGGTAGTAAAAGAGTCTTCAAATCTTCAATCAATCAAATCTTGCAACCGGAATTTTATGGTTTATCTGATCATACCTTTTTTTTCATCTAATCTCACAACTAATTAATTAAGTGTTGTACAAACCTTTATAACCATCTAGGTATATCTATACATAACTTTTCAATGAAATTGTGACAGCATTAAGCCGTCGGTTCTTTTCAAATCTTTTTGACAAATTTCGAACAATGAACAAATAATTTTCAACTTGGCTGACAGATATTGTTTCTCTACTATCCATCTCTTTGGGATTATTCTTTTCTTTTTTACTTTCAACATGTTTTTACGATTAAACACACCTTTTCAACCTTATTTCTATGATAATGTTCTCATGATAAAACTTACTCACTTGGGATACTTTGGAGCATGTATTTTGTATGAAAGCAATAATTCTTACTCTACTGAAAATAAAACGAAACGGGTTTGTTAACTTTTCTCCTATTAGATCATTATCAATCAGCGAATCGGCAAATACTTTATTCAACATAATCTCTCTCTCACTGTATAGAACCATTCAAAATATAAACCTCATTTGATTTATACGAAGTTGAGTTTCGCAAAAAAAATTTTCCCTCATTATGAACGTTAAAATTTGCTTAATCGGTTATATCTAAAAAAACTGTTCAACCTACAACAAGAAAAATGTATTTCTGGAAAAAAAGTTTGTTAGCCGATAAAAAACATTTTACCAAAAAACAGTTTCTTATAAAAGAGTCGGAGCGCCAAGGTTGAATGACCCTGATATGTTACAACAGACAGCATTATATTAGCATCTGCAGTTAGTAGTAAATCATGGACCTTTATTGTTATCAAAATACAAACACACAGAAGGGGTACAAACCTGGTCTGCAACCTTTATCGTGTACGTCATGAATATTATTCATGCTGGAGGCATTATCGTCCAAAGCTCGTAACCCCGACAATTTGCAATAAAATACAGACATGAAAAAACATAAGCTCAAATCCCAAACAAATTCAACCTACTTAGTAGGTTGAATTTGTTCATTTTGGTAGTAATGGTAGTAATTTGTCCATTACTACCATCTATTAGTTAAATTTATCTTATAGATAAACCCATCCACTAGCCAATCAGAGCGCGTAAAATANAATTGCTCTTCTTTTGCCGCTTTTGATATGTTAAAGAGGGAGCGTTCTTCTCAAATGTACAAGTGGTAGAAGCTCTTCCTGATCAAAATCGTCATCAGATCCATGAAACTCAACATCACATTGTTGCTTTAGGATGCCTTTCGATAAATGGGTTATATCACCTACATGTTCATCATCAGATTTATCAATTGCTCTTAGACTACTTTTCTCGATGAGGTAACTGGATCTGATTAATGGCACTCGAGTTTTTCACAATTTCTTCTACAGGGTGTTTCACGTAACTGGTTCGTTAGAACTTTTTCAGGTTCCACTATTTGTAGAGATTTGAAATTTTGGTAGCATGGGTTGTTCATTCGGAACTTTCGATCTAAAATATTTTTAAGATGGCCGCCATTTCCGGTTTACCGGAAGTAGACCATAACTTCGCTATTTTAAATGGAATGCTATAGATTTTATTACACCGTTTAATTGTACGTAGAAAACTAGGTTGACTTTGATAAAAGTTATTGGTACCTGGCGTTTTTCGTTTTCGAGTTATTTTGGTTTTAAGCTTTTTTTGCTAAGTTTCACCATGCTCTTTAAAACTCCATATCGCAGTCAATGTTCATTGAAAAAAGATCTACGTTGGCACGATTACTCTTCAGATGTTATCAAATAGATTGTCATTTGCTGTATCGGAGTATCTTATACAGGTGGTCAAAAATTGAATTACTGTTTCTCCATATTCAATGGCGAGAAAATCGAAAATTTTAAATGGAATGCCCTATATTTTTTTAGCCTATCAGAAAGAGAATTTAATTTTCTACAAATTATCTATAAACATTCCCATACCTATTTATTGTAGTTTGCCTCATATTGCGAAATTTATTAAAACATGCAAGAAATGCAGGTTTTTTTATTAGAAAGCTATGGAATTTTGACAGTTTTTGGTCCATGTAAATTATTCCAAGGCCGATATTTGAAATTTATTTTGTATTGATGGCGAATGTAATAAACTTTTGGACAGGACGTGTCAAACACTTAATGAGAGATGGCTAACAAACCTAACGCCCATCACAAGAAAAATTTCAAAAAATTGATAAAGAATTCCTTAGTTCTGGATATATCGAGACCAAAAGAAATCGCATATTTCCAGTCACCAGTGATGAAGACAACGAAATAAATATTTTATCGTATTTTATTGCATTTCCAAATTCAATTTAATAACAAATTTATATTATAAATTTATATTTTTATTCAAATCTAATTTTTGTCATTAACTTTTTGTTTTAATAGTTTCAGTTATTTGATCTTCTGTTTGTTATTTTTGGTAAGTAAAAGCTAGTAAACTAAACGATTATCAATCGTAGTTAATAGTACAAATAATAATAGAAATAAATTAAACAAAAAACTGTCAAAATGTCATGGCCTTCTAATAAAAATACAAACGGTTTCCTGCATTTCCTGCATGTTTTGATAAATTTACGAATGTGAGAGAAACTACAATAAATAGGTATAGGAATGTTTATACATAAATTGTAGAGAATTAAATTCCCTTGTGTGCAGGCTAATTAAATGTGGGGTGTTCCATTTAAAATTTTCGACTTTCTCCCCATTGAATATGGAGAAACGGTAATCCAATTTTTGACCAGCCTGTAGATGATACTCTGATACAATATATGACAATCTATTTGAGAGCATCTGAAGAGTAGACGTGCCAATTTAGAGCTTTTTTCACAACCACACAAATTGCCGTTTTTTTTTCTAATATGACGTTTAAGTAACAAATGCGGCCCATAAGTAGAGCAGCAAATGCATAATAGGTGGCACCAATTATCAATTAATTAAATTATAAAATATAATTATGACGTCCCTCTTAAGGGAAACTGTGCACTAATAGGTTAAAATGGTAAATTTGTCCGAAACAATTGAAATTCTATGTATGATTGGAGTTGGGGATTGAACTCGAACTCAAAAAGAAGTAGTTAACCTCTTTAATACAACATATCCTGATCGCTAACTCATTAGCCAAAGTGGGTATGTACGAGATTTCTCGAAGTCTGGCTGATCAAATGTTTCAGGAGGTTCAACAAAACCATATTGGGTCGAATCTCACTGTTAGTAAATCAACTGTGTAACGATTTTGCATCAACGAGGAAGACTTCGACAAAAACATAATTATTTCCGATGAGGCAACATTTACATTGAGTAGACAAGTAAATCGAAAAAATTGTGGGTATTGGGCTACCCAAAATCCAAAGATCAATACTATTTGGTGCAGAAGAGTACCGAATGCTAACCTGGGCTTTTACTTTTTTGATGAAACTGTAACTGGAGGGGGAGATATTTAGATTTTTTACAAAACGATCTCATTCTGTCCATATCGGCCAGATTTCCCGATAATGTTGACCCAACTCAATTCCAACGACAGTTATTTCTCGAATAGGACGGCGTCACCACATTATGCCGTCTTGTTCGAGCTTATTTAAACCAATTATTTCCCAATCGATGGATTGGGAGAATATGGCAGATTTTATTCTGCTGGACTTCTTTTGGTGATATCTGAAGGAAGAAGTATATCTGAAGTTTACACCACTAGACTAAATACTTTGGATGAACTAATAATCAGAATACGAGAAAAAATTCAGAAAAATCGAAGAATACAAAAATCGTTTAAGTTACTGTCAAGCTGAGTTAATTTTAATTTTTTATTCATTCAATTAATTTATTCATTTCATTTGTTATTTATTATTAAAACGATTGTTACTCATGGCTATGGCTATTTTATTGCTATATGAAATAAATTTCTGAAATAACTCGTTTAAAAATAATGGAAAAAATTTTACATCTACATTAATTAACTATACAAAACTTAAATCTTTAGACCCGTTTCAGGGACTTATCCATAAACTGTATATAATGATTTTATCCCCTATAACTAATTGTAAGTGAAAAATAATAATTCGCCAAGATGTATTCTAAATGGAAAGATCAAGCCGTGCAACCTCTCTCAATTTTAATTTATGAATTTCAAAGACATACCAAAAAGTTCTTAAACGCCACTTGTATGGAAGACCCTGTATAAAGGAATTTAAATAACAAAAAACTGATTTTTCGTTTATAAATATATTTTGAACTTTCTTTATGAATATTAAAATTATTTGATAAATAATACATTTGTTTTTATTTAGGGAGTGACATGGGATCCGGTTGGAAAATATATAGCAAGCCAATCTGATGACAAAACATTAAGAGTTTGGAGGACCGCAGATTGGACTCAACAAGAAATTGTTTCTGATGCCTTTGCAGAGTGTTCAGCGACAACCCACGTTTTAAGACTTTCTTGGTCACCTGACGGGCAGTATTTGGTATCAGCGCACGCAATGAATGGAGGTGGACCAACAGCGCAAATTATAGAACGGGATGGTTGGAAACAAGACAAAGATTTTGTTGGACATAGAAAAGCTGTTACCTGTGTGGTAAAGGACTTTTATTTGAAAAATTTCATAAAATTTTGATTTTTATTGTAGAGATTTAATTCAAATATATTAAAAAAATTTTCTCCTGGAAGTCCAAAACCTCAACAGTATTGTTGTTGCGCGATTGGTTCGCGAGATCGGTCAATAAGCGTTTGGTTAACCTCTTTAAAACGACCTCTAGTTGTTGTTAAAGACGTTTTTGACGATAGTGTTTTGGATATATCTTGGAGCAGCAATGGCTTATATTTATTGGCTTGTTCATGGGATGGAAGTGTTGTCTGTATTATATTTACTTCTGAAGAAATTGGTGTTCCACTTTCAACAGCAGAAAAGGTGATAAAAAAATTATAAATTTTCTTATCTCATTTTCAAAGGTTTTAAATTTAGCATTTCTTTTAGGGCCACTTTTACCATCTTCATGTTCAGCTTACCAGAAGATTGTTGCCAAAATATATCTGTTAACCTATCTCATTAGTTAACTGCTGGATTTATCTATCAGATGAATTTAATAAGTGGTGGTAAAAGTGGCCCCTAAGTCAAATAATTATTACATTCAAATTTATTACATTTATGATAAAAAGATTACGATTTTCTTTTATTGTACTTTATAGAACTCTTTGTATGAAAGAATGTATGGTAAATCTCTTCAAAGAAATTTGCTCAATCAAAGTTTTTCTGGTAGTCAAATTATTGAAAATCCAGAAATATTATGTGCCATGGAAGAGGTGAATACTGCTGAAAGAAGATCACAGGAAGTACCAATGGAAGAAGATGAAGCACCGATATTTGTAAATACTCCCATACAAGAAGAATTAAACACCAGTAGTGTTTTAGTCCCAGTAAATCAACAAGTTGAAACTAGATTACCTAGTGGAAAACGTCGAATAACACCAATGTTTTTAAAACCAGCACCGTCCACAGCAGTAGCTTCAAAGTAATGTAATTAAAATATGATGATTTAAATTAAGTTTTTTTTATTATTTAGGGAAACAACTGAAGCTCCTACTATAAATGAAACTTCACAGTTCAGTAGTTCATCGCCTTCTAAAAGTAAGATTGTTGTTGTTCAAGAAAGTTCAATGGAAAAACCGAGTCAACCTTTACAAAAAAGGTATAAAGCATTCTTGAAAATGTTTTTCTTTAATTTTAAAAATATATTATTCATTGTTAGTGAAACCGCGATTGTAAATAAAGTAATGTCGTCATGTCCGCCAGGGATGCAAATTAATCAATTATTGTGTTCAGAAGTGCCTGGTGATCTTCCAATTGTTAAATTTATTGATCTCATGGAACCTTTAAAAATGCCTGCAGGAAAATCTGTCATGAAACGAAGTAGTAAAATGAAGATACAGGTAAGAAATTGAACTTGCATGATGAACGATATAGTCTTTTAAAAACTTAATTTTTAGGTAACTAATTCTTGCCAATCAGTTTCAAAAGGGACCTTATCTAGACTGGAAGTTTTTAAAAACGAAGAAGATAAACAGCCAATTTGGGAAACTTACATAGGTAATTATTCCATAACAATTCTCAGGTCGGTATACTAAAGCATTTGAATCATGAAACACTAAAATTATATTGGTTACGCCAATGTTGATTATTTAGTCTGATTTATCCGAAACGTCAAATAGTGTTTCATAGACGCCCGCCATAACCCGGAAAATTCTACTTTCAGTTTTATTTGTAATAAAACCGGGTGTGAAAGCCAACGAACTTATATTTTTGACACTGACTCTATATATGTTTCGATATTATTACTTCTTTCGGTGTCAATTTCAACTTTTATCTATAGGGTAAAATGAGTAGTGTTCATCAAGTTGTTTCAGTTTCTAACTGGTTGGAAAACGATATGGTTTATATTTCGTACAAAAAATGATCTACTATTACGCAATTGAAATCTTTGTTACTTTTGATTTTTATTTAATATAACTGTAGCATATGATGAACTTAACATCCACGTTCTAAATGTGTTTATCCATAATGTTCATGACATTGTTCACATTTACGCTTGATATGAAACTATTACAGCAAGAACTATACAAATTTTTAGATACTAGAAACTAGAAGGATCTGGATGTATCTAGAAACATCTTAAATGTCTAAGAAATGAAAGTTATATTATAACTTACAGTGTATTTTAAGTAAAAAATAAAATATAATAACGTGTTTTCCATTAAGAGTTGTTATTAATATAACGATTTTTTACTGATCATATTATTATTACAACATACAGTATGTCCCCGGATCGAGTTACAAAGAGGAAAAAAAAATTTATTACTGATTTTTTAAACTTATCTCAGCA